TTATTTTAAAAATATTTAAAATTATTATAAATAATTTTAATTATTAAATAAAATTGCAGGCAAATTTGTCTGCAAAACGCTTGAAGGGATAAGTTTTTATAAAAATTTCAAAAAAATTTTAATTTTTTAATAAAAATTATTAGCATTAGAAAGCTTAAAATTGGAAGAATTGGGAAATTCTAGTAGCTTCTAATCTTAAAGTATAATACCTTCGAATATTAAAATAAATACTATATATTAAAATAAATATTATTTAACAGTCTGAACTTAGTTTTAATTACAGTCCTATATAAGTTATAGGATTTTCATAAAGACTAAGTCAGTCTATCTACATACTAGAACTGGCAGGTTCTAGAAATTTAACTGAACCTTAACAGATCTTTTATACCCTAGGCTGATAGGACTAAAATAAAAATGTAATAAGAATTTATGGTTATATTGTATTATTAATATATTTTAATATATATAAGGCAATAGTAATGCATAAAAAAGCTCTTAAAATACAAAAATATATTATTAAATTCTAGTTTAGCTAGAAAATTAGAATATAAATATAAGATAAATATGTATATTTATTCTATCTAATATAACTACTTAATCATAAGTGTTATTTTTACAACTATTAAAATATCTAATTTTCTAATAATAAGTATAACATATTCAAAATAATTTAAAATGTTACTTTTTAATTTTGAATTTCTTTAGTATATGAGTATAATAAGGAAAAATACTACTATACACTCCTCAGATTATCGTTATTCAAATTGACATAATTCTATTAATTATAACTTTAATAAAATGAATAAATATGAATCAAAATTTTTTTCTCACATAGTTACAAACTTTTAATATTTGAATATATAAATATTTTTTAATGTCAAAAATTTAAGAATTTATTGAATTTGAATGATGTAATTAGTCTCTGTAAAGGTGTCTATAGTAAATGAAATATAAAGGTATTCTTGTCTACTCTATCTTATTTTTTACTTTTTTTAAATGATTCTTATCATTGTATTTGGCATTATCTTCATTAAAATTATAATGTAAATTGTTTAATACCTACAATAAAATCAGAAAAATAAAATATAATGATATTTTATGAAAAATAAGATTGAACTTTTAATACAAGTTTCTGGCAAATTATGGGTTTTTTGTATACAATGAGATTTAAAAATAATCTTTTGCCTTTTATTGATAAGTTAAGAACTGAGTTAGAGTATATTTTAGTTGTAAATTCAACAGTTTATCAGGCAAAACAATTAAGTAATAGATAGAAATTATGGTAATTCAATCTCAAATATTTTATGGTTTGCATAGCCAACTAACTTAAATGCAATTGAATATTTATAGGATATTTTGAAAAGAAAGGTTTGTAAACATCTCTACATCCAAAAATTCTTGAAGAATTAATGGTTATTTTAAATGAAAAATAGAATGAAATTGAAATTGACATTTTAAAAAATTTAGTATAAAGTGTGCTGAGAAGGGTTTAAGCTGTAATAGATAGCAATGATTATTCAACTAAATTTTTTTATAAAAAATTTGTTTTTATGAATAAAATAAAAAAATTTTTGTGTAAAATTACTTATTAAAATTTTTCATAATTAAAAAATTAAAGTTGGCTAATAAATTTAAAAATTGCGATAATTTTAAAGTGGTTCAATACTTTTGACCGGGGAGTGTACATGACATCAATTTGAAAGTTCCAGGAATACAGTAATAATAAATTAACTAGTTAGGTTAGTTCACTGTTAATGATATCTAAAAATAAATTAACTCATCACTGTTACTAATTTCTAAAAGATTGAGAGAAGTGTTATTATTTATTGATATAAGACCGTTCCTACTTTTTTTTTTTTACTTCAACCATTTCGACTTCAAGTGAATATGCACACGCAAAATATAACATTTACTTAAAAAAAATATAATTAAGCCAAACTTTGTTTATTATTGTTATTTTACATTAATTCAAAAATTTAAACCTTTGAAGAAAGTTTCTACGATAAAGATATTTCACTGATTCTGAATGTAAAAATCATAGAAACTAGTTAAATATGATCTCTTTCTATTTGTGAACGTTTTCGAAGCCTTTAGCAAGTTTGAAGTTTATGCTAAATAGAACACACGAACCAACAAATCGAAAGCTCCTCGCCACAGACTGTAAAAGTTATTCTTGATCTGTGATGATATTGCGCAAGTATGCACACCTTTTGATTTATCATTTATTTTTAGTAAATAAATTTTGTTTAAATAATTAATTTGCAAAAAAAAAAACGCGAGAACATTTTTATAAAAAACATTTTTTGTATTTATTAGTTCTGTTACATTAGTTTTAATTTTATAAATTCTAACAATATTCAATATAAAATAATTTACGAGCATTAATTTTTTTTTTTGTCGCCTATTATACTAATGGCGTACATGAAGCTTTATATAGGATAATTATAATTGGTGGGATTAAATTTCTTATAAATTAACTTTAAGGGTAAAATCTATATTGATTTGGTTATATTGCTAGTTCTTTAAATTTAAATCTCAAATATTTTTCCCAGGTCTAAACAACTGAATATAAAATTGGTTGTGAAATAAATTATTCATGATGCTCCGATAGAAATAAAAATAAATTTTTGAATCAATAAAGTCAAATTATCATTAAGACGAAAAGTAAATTAAAAAAAACTAAATAGCTAAATTGTATCAAGTTGGTAGGATATCTGTATGATTAATAAGTATATTATTATTATTGAAAAACACTGAGGAGTTAGGTAAATTTGGTGAGTTTCATTACAATTAAGGAGTTTGGTTTCCTAGATACTTCACGTTTCAAATAATCTGCCATTGTTACTTTCTTTATTAAAAAAAACTCAGCAATTTTATCTTTTTTTAATATTTTTCTTATATAGTGTTAATTGTCCTAATTTGGTCACGTTATTTATTTTGAATATGCACGATATTGTCTGAACGTGAGAAAGTTTGAATCACGTGATCATGACCGTAATGCAATTTTATTTAAACAATAAATAATTTTTTTTATCAAAAAAAATACTACTTTTACATTTTTTTTTCAAATAAAATACTTGAGATTTAGCACATAAAAGTTCATCTCAATACCATTTTTGATGTTTTACAACACTCAATCCCCTAGTTGGAGTTCTGATATTTGAACGATTCTTCCTGATTCAAGCTTAACTCGGGTTTCATACTTCTCGATTAAGTTTTGCAAGTTCTTCATATTCTCGTCGAAGCTCACTTATACTTTTTTCAAGACCATTTATTTTTTCATATATGCTATCCTTAAGTTTTTCAATTTTTTTATTATTTGCAATATATGCGCGTTTATCAAATTCAGTCTTCCATTTTAAGAATTCTGCTTCATCATATTCTCTTTGTCTCCTTTCTTCTTCTTCCCTTGCAATCCGCGCGCGTTCTTCTTGCTCCTTTCGTGTATTTTCGAACAATTTATTTGTATAT